GAATTAGTCATACAGAAAGGCGACAGGTGCGAATGTTTTCCAAGTCATGTTCAAATAGATAAGGGGAGAGAGAGTATGAGAGATCAAAATTAAGATAAATTGCATTACGCTTCAATTACATCACTTAGATAAACAATTAGTCATTAGAGAATATATCAAGAATTGCAAACAGAGTAATATCAATAGTAATGGTCATAATAACAATAATAATAATAGTGTTGAAGTGAGTTAAGATAATCCTACTGATAAAGGATAGTTTTAAATGAATCAAGAATAATAACAATAAGAGGTAGAATAATAAGTAAGACGTATTAGCATAGTAAATTCAGAGTGACGGCCATCTCCTTCTGTACACAAAGACCTGGTTTATAAACTCGGATTGCAGAAGCCTCTATTTGAACATGACCTGGAAAACATTCGCACCTGTCATCTTTCACCATGACTAATTTAATGTAGTTTATTTGCTTATCAGTCTTAGATCTCTGAATGTAATTTCAAAAGTATGGATGTCCGTGTATGTAGAGTATTCAGCAGATGACGATATCTACCGAAATTTGATGAATCCATCATTAAATCCTGCTTTATTAACCTTTATTGCTTGTTAAAAATTTTTTTGTTTTGTTCGCTGTGTGTGTATTTTTCTCTTTTTGTCATCATTCAATTCATCCCAATTTTCTTTTCAGTTATAAAATCAGTTAATTTAAGTTTGTTTTCGTGTTCCTCCATTTCATATTTGTCAAATAATACGTAGTAATGATAATAATAATAATAATAGTAATAATAATAGTAATAATAATAATGGTCTTATCAATAATAAGGATGAAAAAGTGAGGCAATCTGTGATAACACGAATAATGAAAAACAGTATGATTAAACAAACAAATGTTCAGGTAGACGCAGTAGTCAATAAGGGCTAGTAAAAACAAATGAACCGATTAAGTAATGCTAGATTGTAAGTGAAGTAAATGAAACACGTTTATAATGAAGATAAGATTAAGGGATGATAACAAAGGGGTTGAAAATATAAACAAGGTATGGTGTAGAAATCTTTAGTTGGTTATGTCTTAATAGGCCAAGGGAGTTACAATTTAATGGTGACTTATCTAGTGAGATTTTATTCCAAAGACTTTCAAGGAGTATGCGAAGAACATTTTACGCAGCACACCTATGTTTGTCATTTTCTAGCCGACGAATGATTGGGACGCAAACGAAGGATAAGCTTAATAGTTTTGCCACATCTATGTGTATTTATCAATTCAACTGCATCTGCGGTGACAGTTATGTTGGTCGCACTACTAGACAGCTTAGCCAACGTGTTAGTGGACATCTCCCATCGTGGTTTGGCAAAGGACAGACAAAAACAATCCGCAGCTCTATTCTGTCACATTTAATTGATAGTGGTCATGTAGTTGAGAAAACGAGAGCCTTCAAAGTAATTCATCGTATCCCACCGAATCTTTCTAATAGACTTCGTATTCGTCTACTGCACACAGCTGAGGGTATAGGTATTAGAACTATTAAACCTAAACTATGCATTCAAAAATAATACGTAAACAAGCATTCACTCACCCAGTGGGAAAAAAACACATCATAAGAACAATGTTGAGGAATATAATGAAGGGGATGAAATAAATGACAACTGAACAATGCATTACACATAAATCATCATAAACAATTTTGAAGTTTGAAATAATGAAGAAAATTTGTAGCCTAGGTGGAGATCTGGTGGTTGTGTTCTGTGAGTTTACACTTCAATGTGAGAAGTGAGCGCTGAAGAAATTGATCTAGGAGAACGATGAAAGTTATATGTGTTCAAACCACATTTACTTTTAACATTTTGAAAAAAATTTGGGCCTTGGGTATGTGATATTCATTATAAGCTTATGTGCCTTCAAGATTTTACGGTCAACCAAAGATAGATACGTGAACCTACAGTTCCATTAAGACCAGTAGTAGATTTCACCAACTCACCGACATACATCCTCTCCAAATACTTATTTCCGATACTACAACCACTGCAATAGGACACTCAAGATATTGGAAAAGATTCACATAATTTCAAGTCCCAAATAAAACATTGAGAAATTGATAAAGAAAACATTACGGTAAGCTATGATATTAACTTATTATATACTAGTATCCCTATTACCGAAAGTTTTGATATCATTTCCACTCTACAAGCATCAGATACAACGCTATCACAATGATACCCACTGGACACCAGTGGAGTAATTAAGAGCTTGAAATTTTGTTTGGCCCTATTCAGGCAGTTAACCTGCGGTTGTAGTGGGACGTCATGAAAAGTAGGGTGCAGCAGGTCGGGTGTGAGGACAAACACTCGCCGAAGACATTGGCTAGCGGTCGCACTACGTAGTGAATTGGCAGAAGTTGGAATTCACTCACTGTCCACTGGATCGTGTCCCAGTGGCTTAGTGGTCTACAATATAGCTCGCCTTGTAACCAGAAGATCGTGGGTTCGGATACTGTCAGTGAGTGCGTACTGGTGAAGAGTCCCAAACTAGGCTGACGAAACAGCTGTCCAGTACTCTCAGCTTGTTTTCCAATGGTTCTGTAACCAATGTCAGCTCATGATGAAATCCTGGAATCCTAATTGTCTAAATAGGAATGATGGACTAAAACAAAATTTGACCTGGTTACAACACCCCACCACCACCACCACCACCCTATAAAATGCCAAAATCAACACGAATGTGATAAGCAATTTCATTATGTAAACACACACTGCTTTTACAGTTTTACACAATTATTGAATCCAACAATCTACACCAGGTTTTGTTATCTTTACCAACTGGCCAACTTGAAAACGAAATAATGACCCCATGCTGAGGAACGATGATTAAGTTGTTAAATATATACAAGCTGAGATTTTGCATTGAATTCTGGTTAAATAATAATTTGATAATGTTATTAGCAGTAGCATTAAATAGCGAAACGTCAGTAAAAGTAGCAATATCGTTTTTTTTCATTCATTGGGAAATACAAAAAATCTTTATTAGAATGAAGAACGATGAAAGCCCCACAATTAAATCATACAATTCAGAGAGCACAATCACAAATCAAAAAAAATCTTGAAGTTTAATTTTTTTTGTCTTCTAAGATGGGGGGGGCGCATCGGTTCCTTCGAGGTTTATAAGATACCGCCTTGATGATGAGTTCCAGTAGGCTTAAAACCTAAGTCCAAGGAATCCTGTTGACTGGATCCAATCACCACCTAACATCAATTCCCAAAGTGATGTCAACTTCTGGCCTCATCAGTGTACGTTAGATATGTCAGTCGTATTCAGTGTTTACTATTCAAACGTATCATCAAACACTTAACCAGTTATGGTTTTATAAACGAGAAAAAACATCCCCCGTCTCAGATCTTTTCTGGAACACCTGACGCTAGCAAGCTAGCTAGACCCACAAACCAAATTCAAAGTCATCTATAGAATACGCAGGAATTTTCGCCAAAAAAGTACAAATCAAACTTCTTGAAAGTGTGGAAGCAATGGCAATTCATATGTCAAATTCTAAACTCTGCATACAGAAGGAGATTGTTCAGTCACTAAATCTATAATTGACCTGATCTATCTTAATCGTATTGCAACAACAGACGACAAGGGTCAGGCAACAGATCGTGTATTAAGGAAATCAACACATATTCATATATTTTCATGTACATTATTATAGCTTATTCAAGCAAGCAAACACAGTCTTCTGATTGGTTGTTTCTCACAGAAAGTTGACCTTGCATTTCTTTGTGACTGTTTCTTGAATGTCAGATCATTTATATGTTAACTGTATCCGCCTACGCAGTGTGCTGTGAATGGATGTTGAATCAGTCTCGTTCATATTATCTCATGACCAATATTTGCGACATAAACATTGACGTAAATTGATGTCTACCAGTTGGCTAGCAGCCTGCTCTCACTACAGTATTATCTTCTTCCCTCAAATCCTCCTATTAAATTTCGACCTCTTATTACAACTGTTGTTCACTTGACTCACGTTCAATAATTCCAGATGAATGCTACTCAATCCCCTCGATTATATTACGTCACTCAGTTCACTTATTTGATTTGATTTTAGTACTTACCCAACTAACGTTTCGTATATGACGTAATTTGTAAACTTTAATAGTAGTAGTTTGAAATAGATGACCACAGGAGGAAGATTTTTTGTTTCTGTGGTGAGAGCTGGGGCTGCAAGCCGAAATTGTAGACAACACTTTACGTCAGTGTTCACATCCCGAATCAGGGTCATGAGAAAAATAACAATAAAGCTTAACCTTGAGAAAGGCACCACAGACAATCACAGCGGAGTCAACGTGTGGAAGTATGATTCGCAGATATATGGCTTGATTTTCTGAGAAACGGCCACAAAGAGATAAGAGAATAACCTTTTGCAAGAAACCAACCAATCAGAAGAGGTTGCTTCTCCGCTAAAAATAATGTACATAAAAACCTATAAATACCTCATGATTTTCTCGATAAACAATCTGTTGTCTGGCCCTTGTCTCTTCTGTCGTTACATCACCACAATTTTAAGTTTTATTTTAAATTTTTTTATTTAGCTTGATTCCATGCAGTATAGCCCAAATTTAGCAGGCCGATTATTGATGTCAGGTGTGCATCGGCCGGGGACCGAGCTCCGGACCATGCACATGGTGGTCGACGAGCATCTTAATCGCTGTGTGCCACCAACGCACGGTGAGTCAGTGGTATGGCGACAGAATTCCCATCAACCCCGCCACAAGTAGTTGTCCTGGGATCGATATCCGACCGACGACACACTCCAAAACATCGGTTAACCAATAATAATAAGCCTGAGTATAGAGGAAAGGTAGGAATAACAACCGCTCACTCTGTGCTGCTGAAACTTTGAAACTCATAAGCCTGAAGTTTTGTGCCCCCCCCCTGGGAACGCACAAAGGAATCCAAAAAAGTAATAAAGCAAACAAACAAACACGCAAACAGGAAAATTTAAATTAAACTAACCACAGTAATATAGTATTTTTTCCCATCAATAATTACAGAAGAACATGAATCAATTTGATTTATATTTTCAACTTTTTGAATCTTGCTAGGACAACTACGACGTATGCTTGAACTGTCATTTTTCTGAAAAAGAGAAAAAAGTGTAATTGTTCCCTTTTAACTTCTTCTTCTTCAAATATATAAAACGGAGAAATAATTACTTGAGTAGGTTAACACATTTTCTGAATGTGGGAACCAAAAGTGAGATCTGATAAAAATGCCTTTTACTTTTTGGATTGGAGTGTCAACAGAGTGATTTAGCCACATTTTATAAGGTGTATTCATCTCGGTCTTCTAATCTTTTCCTAACCTAACTCTAACCTAAGCTTCGAACCAACTCTAACCGGTTGATAAGGCTTAGATCTTTCCAAAGCCTGACCTAAGAGCTAAAACTTACTAGGTATTGCGCTTAGTATCCTCCTAACTATTTGCGTTAAGCATATTTTATTCATAATTATCGTGTTATTTGCTCGGTCTCACTAACTTGCTCAGTAAGCACGCCGCCCCAAGCGCACTCATTGGCCGATATATATATAACACGGTAGACAGGACGTCAGCATCTATGGTCAAAAAAAGATAGTGTTACAACTCTGTTGCTATTTTGTTATGTCAACACCTGTTAATTTACTCTAACGGTAATGAACTCGAATGGTGCACTAATACACCTGTTTGTCCGTTGTACCTTCTGATTGCCTGAGTCACACAAATATCAAAAGACAAAGGTCGACCTGTGACTGCAAGATATTCTATTATTACTAGACTATATGGTTTAAAGGAAAACACATGATATTTATACATTTTCTTAACCATAATAAGGTCAGCTCACAGCCATGGGAATCTATTGTTCTTATTGGTTGGAAATAATATTTATCCTGACCGGTTGACGACGATCTGACAAAGACACCAAGGTGAGACAAAAGACGATGAATTGATCACACACTAAGCCTCAATATGTGCGTTGGTGGCACAGCGGTTAGGACGCTCGCCGACCATGCACATGGTCCGGGGTTCGATCCCCGGCCGACACACCCCCTTTACCTCGCTAAGACAGAAATAATGCTGGTAAAGGGGAAAGGTTGGGCATGAGTCTAGCAACCCCATCCTGTAAAAATAAACACTGCTACAGAAACTTCAAGCCACTAGCTTGAAGGCCTATATTCCACTGGGAACGTGAAAGAAAAATTAATTAATTTAAACCACAATATGCGTGAGAAATGATACGCTAACAACATAGTAACTCGATATAAGTATAAAACTTGGGCACTGTGGTAGAGTATAACTCCATTATGGATAAGATTTTATTTTGATAAATCACACAGTGTTATTAACTGATATTACTAATATTACTGTATAACTCTGCGTGATTTATCAAAATAAAATCTCATCCATAATGGAACATAGTAACTCCATCACATGTGATAAATTTCACGATTCGTGCGAAAGGATGATATACTATTTCAGGCTAGGTCCAATCAGAGATAGCCTTCTCATGTCTTCCACTTGTCATGGCAATGTCCCGCAGCCATAGACAGGAGCCTTAAATCAAGGGGAAAACAACTGTTCAAACCTTCTGGATCTTCAATAATTCTCTAAGATCATTTATGTGGAACTAGATCAGTCGAATACTAACACAACATTAAAAAGAGGGGGGTGGGGTAAAATACCATATTTGATGCATCAATAATAATAATAAAATAAAAAAACTACTCTACATGAACCGCCAACTCAATGGAGATATATCTGAGGAAACACTAAAAAATCGACTGTCGCACTCACTTAAGAAGACATTCTTCGCAGCTGAACTAAGTACTAACCTTCTCCACAAAACCTATGATTCATGTGGACGTGAAGAATAAGCTACCACTGCTGGCCACCTCATCAATGTGTATTTATCAATTCACCTGCTCGTATGGAGCCAGGTATGTCGACCGTACCCAGCGTTCACTTTCCAAACGTATCACCGAACACTTACCAGCATGGTTTTACAGAGGAAAAGGATGTCCCTGCAGCTCCATCTTAGAACATCTGATAGAATCCGGACACCAAGCTACACCCCAAACAAACTTCAAAGTCGTCTACAGAGTAGGAAGTAGTCTTCCTAAAGGTGTACGAATCAGACTTCTTCAAAGTGCAGAAGCAATGGCGATTCACTTGCTAAGCCCTGAATTCTGCATACAGAAGAAGTTCGTTCAGTCACTACACTTGCAATGGACTTAATCTATCTTATCACCCGACAAGTAAATTCTACCTAATCTTTTTTTTCTCGTCTCTTCAGTATTATTATTATTTTGTCTTCTGAGTTGTAATATTTCATATTTTCAACTTTCTTGTTCTCTACCCCCACCTGATTTAATTTCTACACTTCACTACCACTGTTACTGACTTGACCAACGCTCAAATTCTAGTCATTAGTGTTCCGTCATCCAATTTATTTGCTCACTTTTAGTTCTAATTTAAATGGTATTATTCTCTATCCCACCTCTACTTAGTCTCTACCTGTAATTACCTCTGTTGCTATCCTGACCTAGGTTGAAACATTTTAGTCAGTTATATCGCGTCATCTAAATTACTAATTCAATCTTACTTAAGTTGGTGTCTAACTAACCTTGTTTCTATATTAGATCATTCTTTTATTACCTGATCAATTATCTAAACTTGACAAACCTCATGTACATACACACACAAAACAGTTATATATAAATGCGATTGTACAGCTGCTATGTGAATGAATTCGCCGTCGAAAAGAGTCTCTTCGCTGAACGTCTGTTTTCTCTTCAATGAAATATAAATAAAATGTTATAGTAGTGTTGAAAACAAAAACAACCTACTAAGCGAATATTTGATTGAGATGATAAATTCAGAGATAATCTTCGAGAATTTTTATCAGGAGAATCCGATTGTTTACAGTCTGATTTCGCGTCTCTTGCCGGGCATGAACAACAACGAACAGAAATTTTACTAAGACCAAATACTTTATAGGTCTCCTCTCCAACATGGGAATCACTAAAATGTCAAAAGATAGGATAAGATAGCAGGTTAATAAAAGAAAGAGAGTTATCAATTGTTGTAGGGTAGTACTATTTTAGTTAGTTAGTGGGTCATAGTAAGGCTAAAATAGAATGCAGTGAAAAATCTGTTTTTCAAGTATTGATCTTTGTAGGGATTTTGTTTGATTGGTTGAAGGATTTTATCATGGGCTGACATCAGTTAGAGAACCAATGGATAACCAACTGGGAGCACCAGACACCTGTTTCGTTCTAGTTTTGGACTCTTCATCAGTACGCACCCACTCCACTAGGGTTCGAACCCAGGACCTTCAGGTTACAAGACAAGTGACCACTTCGCAATGTCTTGTTCGATAAGTAACTATCTTCACCTTCAACCTGCTGCACCTTACTGGTCACGGCTTCCCATTAGAACCCCAGGTCACTGCCTGAATAGGGCCAGTCGATAGTGAGCATCAGATGAATTTTTAAGTATTGGTTTTCGTAGGGATTTAGTTTGACTGATCGAGGGGATGATTTCACCATGAGCTGCCATCAGTTTGTTTGTTGATGTGTACACTTTTCTTTAACGTTTTAGCTTTTATTATAGATGGAGGAGAAAGTCCAACTGGAATATTTCCGCTGACTACAACCTTTTTTCACAGTCTTGTTGATAGTATTTAGCAAAACATATATCACAATCATGGCCAGTTGAACTGCTCACTTCTTCTTGAATTTAAAATGAAAATCAACAGAGCATAGACGTTACCTTGATTGGACACTAGTCAGTAGGCTAGTGTAATGCGTCTATTCCTTTTTTTTGGTACAGACTGAATTCTATTGTCAGTCAAGTTTGAAATGTGGCTACCATGCCACTAGGTGGCTCGCCATCATGGTGCACTGTTAGCTGTTGATATTAGATGATTGGAGGCAATCGGAAGGAAACCTTGCTTGACCTAGGTTTCGTGCTAGTTGGCACTCCATCAGTCAGCAAGGCGTATCTGCAATCTTCAAGGAACTCATGTCTCTTCCAAGATTTGAACCCGTGTCACCCAATGCTGCAGTCAAGGACGTTAGCACTGAGCTATTATTCGAGCTCGTGATTGACCCAATGTCGATTGCCTCCAATCATGTAATATCAACAAAGTGCACCATGATGGCGAGCCACCTAGTGGCATGGTAACCACATTGCAAACTTGACCGATAGAATTCAGTCTGCACCAAAACAAGGTACTAGACGCATTACACTAGTTACTGACTAGTATCCAATCAGAATATTCAATGCAGTCTTACAGGAGGTCTATCATGGGCCCAAATAGCTCAGTGTTAACGTCGCTAACTGCAGCACTCACTGGGTGACGCGGGTTCCAATCCCAGAAGGGACATGAGTTTCCACAAGGTGACTGGAGATACGCCTTGATAACTGATGGAGTGCCAACTAGCACGAAACCTAGGTCAGACAAGACCTCCTGACGATCGTCTGCAGCAAACAAATAGAAAAGAAGGTGGATAACACTACTAAAGGTTTTCATTTGTTTCAATCAATCAAACTTTCTAAAAGAGCAAGACAAACTTCAACCTGCTTACTAATTAGATTCACTCACCTGGCAGATGCATCCATAGCCTCTGTCAAGGTAAGTCCTACTCACCCTCCTCCTTCACGTGGGGTGGAGGTGTTCCTCACAAAAGTGGAAGGGTGAATGTGAATCTCTGATGCTTACATCCAGACTAGTGAACCTGGAAAACCCAGACCCCAAACCTATAGCGTACGAACCTGTTTTGGTCACCGGAAATCATGGAGACGTGGCTTCTGACGATGCTCGACTGCCTTGTGGACCAGACCTCAAGTCAAGGGCTCGTGGGGTATAGCACCACTCTTCAGCATGTCAAATGGTAATTTAAAATAATACTGCAAATTTTATTTTGCCATATTTTCATTTTAGAAAAAGGACACCTTTGAAGTTGATTGCTAAGACGTGAAAATATTCATCTTAATATTACACCTGCAGACAATAGTTCAGTGAAGGAAAGCCACGGTAATAACACTGAATTGAACATATTGTGTATAACAATACACTATTTAATTGGTGGGTGGTGACTAGCAGTGGAATCTAGTAGGATGCGCATTTCGTCCTATTTAGGATTTGTCAACTGGATGTAACTGCATTCTCCAGTGAGTGATGATGTTCCAACCGAAGCTCGTACCCAGTGCCCATAGTTTCAAACGGCATGGCGTTATCCACTAGACCACTTGGGCCAGCAGCTTCGATTGGAACATCATCACTCACTGGGAAATGCAGGTACGTCCAGTTGACGAGTCCCAAATAGGACGAAACTGGTATCTTGGTGGATTCCACTGCTAGTCCCCCACCATCCACCAATTAACTTCTCATCACATGCCCAGACATCGTCGAGGCATCTGCACAAGAAGCCGACATGTCGACTTGAGACCGAGCACTTCGGTTCAATCAATCGACGGGAAAATCTAAAATTCAATTAAATACACTATTGACAACAAATATAGGTGTGTATTTCGACACGAGTCCTCTTTAATGATCCCTGAGAATTTCTGCTACACTGATTTGACAGCAAAATCTACTTACATTAAATGCAATGAAATTTTAACAAAGAGCATAATAAGGAGTGTCATACAAAAACAGTCCTAAGATCAATTGTAAAATACAAACAAAAAAATCAAACTAATCATACTAAATTAGAATAAAACTTACTTGCTTTTTGCTTCTAAAGTTATAATCAAGTCAACTTCACCTCGAGATGTCGAACCAAAACAACTATTATAACAACTAAGTCGGCAGTGTAGAAGTCCTTTTACTTCAGGAAGCAATGATTGTGATATATCTGAATCAACAGAACTAGACGGAGGTTCAGGTTTAGATTGATGCAGAAGCTGAAGAACATCAACCGATGTACAGACACTTATTTGACCAGTTGGACAATTCGGTATAGTATTGCCTATCATATATTGACAATTAACGCCAAGAATTTCTACAAATGATTTCCCCATCAAAGCTTGATCTTCAGATAGTGTTTGTGCTTCGTGTTTTTTACATCTACACACACACACACAAAACAATTGAAAGTGTAAAGTTGAACAATTAACAAAAAACAAATAGAGTTCACCAACCTTTGAACTACTTCATTACATCTTTCTGCATATGTAAACATTGGAGTAATTCGAATCAAAAAGTCATGTGGTGTTATAGGCGGTCGAAAAACAAAATTTATCGGCCAAGCACGCATAAAAGTGACATAGACTTTTTGTAGTGAATTTTTTGTAATTATCTAGACGAAATGTGTATATATCTGGCAAATGCTAAGCTAGCTTACTTGGTAAGATGAACTATTGCGCTGTTTTTTACTTGGTGGTATATTAGGCACCCAAGCTTTAAAAAAATATGGACCGGTAAATGGAACTCTTTCAAAATATATGTATATATGATTATGATAAACAAACAAAACAAAGAATTAATACCTACAAAGGGTTAAAGGATTTGTTTGAAAATTGTACAGTCGAAGGCCTGGACATAATCTAAACCAGTTGATATGTTGTTATATATAGTCATAGATTATCTTACCGAACTGTTTTGGATTACTTCCTCGACATCTAATTCACTGCTGTTTTCCTTATCATCATCTACTAAGGAAAACTTCACGTCCATTAAAAATTGAGTATATTTGAAGGCTAAAAGACAACCAAAAAATATTAAATAAAATAAATTCATGCCAGGTCAGCTTTAAAATAATCGATAAACAGTATGCTCAAGAAGCGATGAACTTTTCTAATTGAATTAGGTGTAGAAAAAATATGCCTAAAAAGACTGTGTATAATAATCTCAAGTAGGCACCATGAGAAAAAATAACCTTTTCACGAAAATAATCAACATTAGGGAAACGTTAACCATCTGCCAGTACATAGTACAGTTATAGTGCTGGTTAATCGAAGGAAAACATGGGATCGACAACAACTTGTATAGTCCGATTAGTTCCCTAACATATATATCACAAGTCAACGGCTTTTGAAGCATGCTTTTTTGGATAAGTCAATATACTTTGAAAATTGCTCCATCTCAAGTAGGATTTTACTTTAATAATCCGAAACAACAACTAGGAATTTTATGAGGACATTGTGCGGTGCTTCTGATTACCAAAACAACATGATAATTGCATAATAAGAGGACAGTGGATAATGTGAAAAGTTAAAATACCTTCTTATTGTCATGCTATAGGAGGAGAGGGAAACTTGATAGGACTATCGTACATAAGGACAACTCAGTATCGGTCTCCAATCTTTAATGCAGGATTTCTCTGAAGTTGTTACGAAAATGTACATCAAATGGCATATAAGCCACGGGTGGTCATCGACTCGGACCCATAGCCGGATCTGTAATGATCAGTTACTTTCATAAACCCTCTTAAGAAGCTAGTTCTCCGCGAAGATACATATTGAGACTATTAACATAGCTCATCTCTAACCTAGACACTGCAACAATTAGCAATATTCTGTGGACAAAATATAATGATTCTGATAAATTACTCAAGGTCTGCGTTTAGATCGATCGGGGTGGATGCTTTAGTTAGACTTCGCCATAACTACATACCGTCACCAAGTGGGCTAACTAGGACAACGAACGAAAGAGTCAAAACGAATGTCGACAGCGTGCTACAAACTAGATTTTCAATGTATTGTCAATAAAATACGTCAAAAATCAAAGATTTTTCAATTTTCCTGCACTTACTAACCAGTAACGCATATAGGAACAGCATATACGTGCCTACAGGCTGAAACTGACAATACAACAGCCTTTTACAGAGAACTGAATAATTTTTAAACTATAAGAATAAGACCGTTAGGCATATTTAATCAATATTTAGTCACAAAAGTTTGGAAGAATTCTTCAAATCAATTTGAGTGTCCTCTCAAACTGATTAATTCACGGCTAATCAGCCGTGAAGATTTGCGTTTACTCACGTTGGCAAAACAAAGTAACTTTTCAAAAGATAAGAACTAAAATATATAGAAAATACATATGTTGTATATGTTAATAAGACTAATGATAGAGCCACGCACCCAGGTAAACTCCAATCGATTAAGCTGGCAACTTCAAATTCCCACACTTTCCATAATCCCCAAAACTTCGTCATTTCGATGCAGTATAACACTGAGAAGGTGCAAACAATGTCTTCACCTACAAATGACTCAATAAAAACTATGATAATGGTAAACTGGGTTGTTTCCCACTGAAAGTATTGCTTAATTAGGTCAGATAAGTGTGACTTACTAGAGTTATTAATAAATTTATCTCACCTGACTTACTCATGCTGTCATTACTGACAGATAAATCAGTTAGGAAATTACAAAGTTTCTCGCAACTCAGCAAAGTGAAATCTGTTTCTGTAAAAAGGCAAATAATACACCCAATATGCAATATATTTTTGACAGGCTTATATAAACCTCATGAACTTCCCGATGATCACTTCCTGTTGTTTCGAGTCAATTCTAGGTCTGGAGTATTCTAATACAATGGATTTCATTTCAACAGACAATTCTCCATCAAGATTGACAAACAGTCAAAGAAAGTAAAAGTGGTGCGGAAATCTGGGTAGTGAGTAGAACAGTACGGTTGTATCAGAGGCAAGTTAACCAACGGGAGTATATACACACAAAATAGGTGAAAAAACGAGGTTAGTAGGAATGGAAACAATGATAAAGGTAAAAAATGAATAGTGGGGCATTTAGGGACGTGTAGCGGTAGATTGTTCCCCAGAACTATTAGCCACAGCATTTGTCGTTTGGATGCTGACACTCACTGCTTAAGTCGGCTTGCTTACCTGAAGACTCGCCGTCATTTGGCATCATTTGCCACTCTGTCATGTTACGTCCGGTCGTTTATCACTATCCATAGTCAGTTAACCAGTCGTGATCGAACCATGATTTCGATTCCGAAATATGCTGCGTATTTTGGACGATCAATTTAGTGTTTTACCTCGTCTTTGGTCTTCTCCAAAAAATACTGTAGGGGTTGTGAATATAAGATCTGGCGTTAGTATACATCATACCATGTGTGAACGTCAATACCCTCAGCCTCTAAAGACATGTTAAGACAGCTGACACTTTTGTAGTACAGGCATTGATCCTCAGAACTAGTCTACTAAACTTATTGGTACTTGCAAACTTATTGTTTTTCGATGGTTTGGCCTGCTCTTGAAGCTATCGGCTGATAGAGCATCTGGTAGATAGTATGGCAATGAATTTTATAGGTGGCAAACAATGAAGAAAATAAGGTTCGGCCTTATCTTTGTTGTTGTCCTTCACTGAGCGATTATGTCAGAGTGACCGCAGAGGATACCATTGCCTTGGATGTGTTGTGCCTTGTGTGCCTTGACATGGTCACTCCAGGTTCTGAAGTGACCAAGGGTATACAGACCCGACCGTCACTACAGATTTCAATGTAATCAGCAAGGATACACAATAGAAAAAAGGGACATATTCCGTCATGCATCCTATTTAAATGTTGAAAATGAGTTTTCAGTGTTAGTCAACACTGAACCAACGTCTAATGACCTCGCCCACTCGAACTAGCTTCACTTTCGTTGGGGAATATAATCCCTGTGGTAGCTCTAATGTTTACCATAACACTCAGACAAGGAGCACTGATGTCTATTGTATTGACGCTTATTTGTAAACCTGTCCTAGTGTATTTATAGCAACCGCCTGTGAACTTGATGATCAGACAGCTACTTAGTTAACTTGGCCCTGTTGATTCGTTGTTAGCTAAGCATTAAATCAACAATTTTTCCGTCTTTCTTTTGATACCCATCGTAATGAAGTTCAGTTGCTCATTAAATGGTTAAATGGTATTCTCGGTTCTGGAATGATGGATACTAGCAACATCAATAATTAACAACAGCAATAGTTGCAGTTCCGCAACTGCTCATATGACAATTTTTCGAGCAACCAACTTTCTACATAACTCAATTTATCTACTTTCTGAACTTGAAACGAATGACAACTAAGTTTCTGCGTGAAAATATCGTTAATTTGATATTCGTGGAAGAATGTCTCATATGAGCCTAAACTTTTTTAGTTAATATCCAGGTGAAGAAAATCCTTAAATGGAAGTTCAAGCCACGAGCCGGTGGCACAGCGGTTAGGGCGCTCGCCGACCACGTGCACGGTCCGGGGTTCGATCCCCGGCCGACATATACCTGATATTAATGGTCGGTATGCTAAATTTGGACTACCGATATCACATGCTGAGAATGCTATATTTGTACCGGAAAACCGTATGGAATCAAGGTATGATAAAAAAGGTTCATTAGCTGACTTTCTTGAACTCTAGGCACAGAATTATCCCAAGTTATAACCATATGTACCCATTTGACAAGTTATATGAAACATATTTATCTTTGTCGCTTTTTAGGTTCTTTCAAATCACAGACAATTAATGCACGTGTATCATACTAAATCGGAAATTCAAATGAATCTTTATGAATATAAGCCGGTAGAAAAATATTTGGAAATAACCAGAAAATAGGAAGTAGACGTGCAGATTGTTTACTTATACAAAAGTGGTGTTAGAAAAAATCCATTTTTGACACTCCCTAGTTCATCCAGATAACCAGTTGAGGCGCGGAAACTTTCCTCATCAAGTGTAGCACTATTAGCATACCAACTGGGGACATTCCTAAAGAATTCACGGAGTAACTTACGACCAAACAGTGCAAGAGAAGAAATTTACAAGACAACAAATAATCTCGAACAAAACTCCCAATAGAGTATAACGAATCACCTATTGTCAATGTAGTTGGAGATTGAACGATCAACTCATGGTTGTTGGCTCAAGCCCAACTTCCCCAAAATTCTCGCGAGTGATCAATCTGCCAGTCATCGTCTCATCGGTCGCCGTTCAGAAAGAAACTAGAAAAAACTGTCAGAAGTAATATCGTGATTTATTGTTGTAATATTTGTTCTTAGACCTTAGTCTGTAATGCTAACAATACTGGTTATATGTTGGTGTTAGAATAAAGAATTCTCGAGTCCCCAATCTGTGCTCTGGTTTTTGCGTCCGTTAGTACTAAGCGTTTCTGAAAAGCTTCGAGGGACAGCGTGAGGCCAAGTGTAGCAAGAGCTGGGCATCAACGGTTTATGAGACGCGATTGACAATTTCTGACTGTTTGGATAGTCTCCGTCAGTCCTTCCTGGCGCCGGCCAAGTCATCTTCGAACAAGCGATATCTGGAACTTTCTGGAATTTTGGTCAATTTCAATGATGCCTGTGTCAAAGAAGGGACACAGCGTCTTGGAAGCCAGCAGGAAAGTAAGTCATGTTGACTTGTCTGTTACTTGTAACGATGTGTTTGATGCTCAGCATGATGAGTTTGTTGTTCATGTTTCGGAGTCAAGGGATAATAGGCCTAACTTTGAACCTCGGTGTTTCGACGGAAACCCAGCTGACTATCCACAGTCTGTAAAGCAGTTTGAAATCATGTTGAGTAGTTTTCTATTAAGTGATGAATTGAAATTGATGTATTTGATGAGGTACTGCACTGGAGTTGCTTCAAGAGCTATACAGTGCTGTAAGTTCATGCACCCCAACGAAGTATACTCTGAGGCTATGAGTATACTGCGTCAAAGATTCGGAAGACCCTCGATGATTGCAAGGAACGTACTTGAGGCTGTTAAACGCAATGGTAATTTTAATTTTTTTTTAATTTTTGATTTACAGCTTGATTCCACACTGTATTTTCGGCACAAGTATGGAATTTTCAGCATGGATATCGGTAGCCCAAATTTGGCAGGCCGACCATAGATATCAGATGTGCGTCGGTGCGGGCTCGAACCCCGGACCATGTGCATGGTCGGCGAGAGTCCTAACCACTGTGCCACCGACGTAGTCGATTACAAGATGACTCCAAGGCACTCTCTCACTTTTTGGATAATCTGATGACGTACAAGAATACGTGGATTTCGATGAATTGCATGAGCGATCTGAACTCAAGTTCCGTCCTAGAGATAATAGCGAGACGCCTACCTACTCGACTGCAAAGGAAGTGGGTGAAGATAAGCTCTCTTATAGTGGATGAAGGTATTGAGCCAAAATTTGATGATATCCTGAAACTAGTAAAAGATAGCGTCAATCTATCTATGAGCAAGTTCGCCAGTATATTGAATCTCACCCTTAGAATAGAGCAGTCTGAGAGCAAAATGCAATCATTGATGACGAAAGGGTCTCAGAGAAGTGGATATCGAGAAGGCTCTATGATGTCTAGTAATGCATATAGACCTAGTGAGTGTAACAGGTTTCGTAGTACATCCTCAACAGATAGGTTACAAGTTGCGAGACAAACACGGTTGTGTTTTACACGTTTGCAAGAAGTGCATACAAAGGTGAACTGTGAACCAGTGATCAAGTTCAGTGGTAAGCCAAATGTGAAATCAGCGCCATCAAGCTGTGACTACGAATTGTGTGACGATAATGGTGCAGTGAAAAAGCCTTTAGTTGCAACCAGTAAGCCATTGTTGAATAGAGTGTCACAAACGACACCACAATTTGTGCAGAAGAAGGGAGTTACAGTTCCAGAGTCTAGTTCTGACTCCTCAAGTTTTCAAAGTATTACTAGTCAGAGTAAGGGTATAAAACTTGTAAGGATTTTTGAGGAAGAACCCAAATTGTCTACCGTTGGTAATAAAGAGTTTGCAAATGATGAAGTTGATCATATAAACGGAGGTAAAGTGGATATTTGTAACAGTGATCATGATAGTGCAGATTTGTCTTCGGCTGATCATGATGAGATGAGCAGAATGCCTACTACTACTACTACTGAGTTGAATACGAGTTCTGTACAACTTGAACGTGAAGCTGAATTAAGAGCATATACGGTGGTAGAGGGTATGGATGCTCATAAGACCGTCAGTGTAAATGATCAAAGTTTGGCCCACCTATCAACAGATGTTAATGCTAAATTGAAGCTAATAGTAAAAGAGAGCAGTGGTGGTAATCTTGCAGTTAGACAACCTTCTAAACGTCGAACAACAACAGCTTCTGATGAACCGCTAAGTTCATCGACTGGTATCAGCCAGTCCCCGCTGGTGTTGTCATCCACAATGAAAGGGACGTCCATGAACTCAAGTGTCTTGTGTTGTGATTATGCTAGTATCAGTCAGTTTGA